GGTTGCAGTCAAGATGTAAGCCAAGGACAGTCAGCTGAAGGCTTGACTACGGTGAGGATCAGCATTCAAGACAGCTCACTCACATGGGTATTGGCAAGAAGCTTCACTCTCACTGGCTGCTGACAATCATGTGGGCTTTTCTGTGGAACTGTCTGAGTGCCTAAAGTCATATGGCTTCCTCTAGAGCTAGTGATCTAAAAGAGAGAGCAAAGAGGAAGCTGCAGTGCCTTATATGACCTATCCTTGGAGGTCATACAGTATCATTTCTGCTACATTCTATTCATTAGAAGCAAGTCATTAAGTTTAGTCCACACTTAAAGGATGAGGAATTAAGAATTAAGCCCCACCTTTTGAAGGAAAAATGTCGAATAATTTATAGATATATTTGAAAGTCACCTGGATGGTGATTAGCTGAATAAAAGTAAATAGGATTAAATTATAAGAAAGAACTCTATATTAGCATATCCCTCCCAAAAAATCTGAGAGAAAAACAGACAATGTGGAACTTATGTTTTTGAGAGTTTTAAGAGTGTGAGTAAACATCTAAACCAGTGACTATCAGCTAAAACCGTACCTCTGGCTAGAGGGTGTTTTAGAAAATTTAAATTGACTTTTAGATTGTTACAATGTTTGGGGGGTATTACTGTCAATTAGTGGATGGGACCCAAGGAAGGTAAATGTCTTGCAATATCTACAACAGTTCTGCACAACCAAGAATTCCTCCACTTCTAGCCTGGCTCTCCCATGTTCCACTCATGTGGGTAACAACGTGTTTTTAAATATTTGAATCTAAAACTTCTGTTTTAAAATTACAAATGTTGTTTTTGTGTAGTTTTAATAAATACTAAGGGAATTTGAAGAAAGATTATACTACATTTTATTTGGAATTTACTAAGATTTGTTCATTTTAGAAAATTATATCATTGACAATACTTGTATTATTAGTCTCCTACAAAATACACCTGTATCCTCCTATAATAGGTGCAAGTGCCTGACTTCTAGGTTAGTCACATATGAGCATTTGCATATTGATATGCATACTGTTTAATTATAAATTGTTTTGCTCTTATTTTTCATATACATTGCAGTTATGGTATTTTGTTAATTTTTTAAAAAAATTATATGTTTGGGTAAGTTATGCTATCTGTATTATTTATTAAAGATTATAAAAGGAGCATTATAAATATTTGTTATAAAAAGGATGTGTTGGGTATGATGAGATTGGAGAAAGATTCACATAGAAACCCATGATGTGATGACACTATTAATCACCTTATATGAGAGCCCTAGACATTTGTGGGGAAATAGTCAAGAACAGATCTGTCCAGGAGAAAGTGTGTGTGTCCCAGGTGTAATGCTAAATTTTCTTATAGCCTATTAAAGGGAATGTTTTTAAAAGGTGAAATTAGAGGCTGGGACACCTTGGCCTCTGGGAAGGGTTTGTGCCAAGTTCCTCATAAACCCCTTCCCTCCTCTTCTCAAAAAAAAAAAAAAAAGATGAAAAAATTTTAATAATATATTTCATTTAATTATAACTAAATATTATCATTTCAAATATAATCAATATAAAAGTATTGAGATAGTTACACTCATTTTTTTGTGTGTGTGTTCATATTGTCTTTAAAATCTTATGTGCATTTGCAATTATAGCAGGTCTCAGTTCAGATAAGCCACAAGTAAGTGCTCAGTAGACACATGTGGCTAGTGGCTTCCATATTGGAAACACAGCTCTAGAAGTTCCATAAATAGAGAAATTCCAAGGATGGGATTTAAATGTGGGAAGTCTCTTAGTTTATTAATGTACAGAATGACTGCTGTTGTACATCTTTTTTTTTTTTTTCCTGCCATATTCCTCCAGCAGAGGTGGGCAGGATGTAGACTTTGTAAAGAAGATAAAGAAATCTAAATACCCTTGACTGAGGTGACTTGATTAACTGGACCTTGCAGCTTTCAGCTCAAAGACTTGATGTTCCAGCTCAAACACAGACCATCTGCAGTACAACTTCTATGCCAGAGGCCGCATGGAGAGGTGTAGCAGCAGCTTAGTAAACACAACCTCCTCCCACAATTCAAAACTACAATATCAAGGAGATTTTCTCCCTTGACCCTTCTATCTTTGTCTTCCTCTCCTTTGTCCCCAGGCATCATATCCCTCCCAGACACTCTTCCTCTCCCACTAAGTACAAATTTCTACTTTTCAAATGACAAAAACTCCAAAAGTACCTGGTCTTCTCCTTTTCTACCATGTGTGTCCAACATACTGCTGATCATCATGTAGCTGATATCCTTGCTGTTCCCCGCTAACAAGCTCATTCCTAATTTATCCTCCAGTGGGCGGCATTATAGCTACTAGTCTAGTGGTTAAAGTATAGGCCTTAGAGAGCAACACACCTAACGTCAAGCCCTATTTATGCCACTTAAAAGCTTTATGATCTTGAGAGGTAAATAAAACTCTAAGCTGCAGTTATCTATAAAATTTAAGTCTATGACTGTGCCACCCTGAACAAGCCTGATCCTGTCTGGTCTCGGAATCTAAGCAGGATAGGGCCTGGTTAGTACTTGGATGGGAGACCTAGGAAGACCAGGTGCTGTAGTTGTAAAAAATAAAAAATAAGGGATTGTAAGCTGACAAGGTCCTTGCAATCTGTGCGGTCAACAAAGGATTGCCTCGCCTGAAAAAAAATATTTAGGTGAAAATAGTATCTATCTTACAAGGTTATTGTGAGACACTATTATAGAGTATCGTGAGACTCAAATGAGAAAAGAGATGTGATACATTTAGCATAGTAGTTGACACCCCGTAAAAAATTAATAAATTGAAGCTCATTGTTATACTTTTTCCTCAGTCTGTAATTCATCCCTACTTCTGTCCACCTATCCAAATCCTAGACATTTTTCAGTCTTTTTATGTGTTTCCTGAGAACTCTGACATAAACTATGCTGGGACCGACTTCTTGTACAGGATACTTACCTGTCAAGTTAAATTCTTTAATTAATTTATTGATGATGAAAAAGGAACAAAAAACTATAGCAGATGCTGCTGATACCCCATCCCACTTCCCTCAGTCCTTCTGAGTTGGTGTGCAGCAATGGCAGACAGTTCTACTATGCCCAGTGACAAGCCTTTTCTGCGTGGTTCCTCAGAAGGTCCCCAGCAGGATGAGTCACCCCTGCCCACAATAGTGTTCCACTTTTTAACATGCCCATTATTGGCTTTGTTCCCTTCCGTGTTTCACTTTCCTTACCCACATGTAAGCTTCCTGGAATCATTTCTCAAATTAACTACCTGCATCAAAATCATTATCTCAGTGTTTGGTTTTGATGAAACCCAGATAAGACAAGAAATAGCATTACCCACATTAGTCCACATTGTCTGCCAAGCACCATATTAGGCATTCTACTTTTATTATCTTATTTTCATAGTCTCAACATTCTTATGAAGCTGAGAATTCTTATAGCCATTTTAGAGTAACAAATTAGAAAGCCAAGACTCAAAACAATTAAGTAACTTATTCAGGGTCATAAATATGTAGCGAACCTAGCAGTTCGAATGCTTCTTTAAGTGCCTGTTTCTGAATTAATAATTGTGTGGAAAAGAAAGAAAACATTTCAGGATAAAGTTAAAAGAAACATGTTACAGAAAACAGTCAGATAAAATTAAATCTCTTTCTTAAGTTTAGCCAAAATGTAATAAACTAAGATATTAAAACATAATTTAATAAAATAGTGTCTGGAGACATTGCACATTGAACACTTAGATGCCATTTAAATCCCTTATTTACAGTCCTCTCTATTTATTCTGGGAAATAAAAATGGAAAGATAAGGTAGTGAAAAGCTGCCCAAATGAGTCAGATTTTATAAGAAGGTATTCGAAGATGAAACAGATTTGGCTTCTATGACATTGGAGAAACAATTAGACAAAGGCGACTTTTCCGAGTACTTACATTCTAAAAGAAAAGGCTTGGATGGATGAGAAAAGTTACTGAGAAAAATTCCTCTGCCATATTAAAATTCTCATTCAGAATTGATTTTTTTTATCTTCCCAAGTCACAGTGGCTGTATACATAAGGGTTATCGAATTATAACATGAACTGTCAAATCCAATAAATGTGGATAAGGAGATAGCTGGGCAAATGTTAAAGGAAGCAAAGGACAAAGATATGTTTTCCATATGCAGAGGCAAGTATTAGACGACCAATGCATTTCCTAGATTTTCAGGATCTTCATTAATTAAATTGGAGAAGTTAGAAATTTTCAATTAGAATTAGGGAGTATTACCCAATTTAGTTAATGTATGTTACTTTCTGTGATTCTATAGTCTACCTGTCAAATCAACTTTGTAATTCTTGGAAAATAAGGGTGATGAGCTTATATGAGGTGGAGTCTTCAGTTTTCATGAAGTTTGAGAACATGATATTTATCGTAAAGTTTGAGATTATCAGACAGGATGTACAGTAAATCTTTATTATGTATTGCCTGTGAAGTTGCTACTGTTTGCCTTTTTAAATGTCACATGAGATTAGAAAAAAACTAGTCAATTTGAATTGAGCACTCTAGTTTCATTCCTTGAATTTTTAAAGGGTTTTCATTTATGTATAACCCAAAAGAATTACATCATATTATTTATTGTAAATTTATTAGCTCTGCTATGAAGTCATTTAGTTTTGAGCCTTAGGGAAAATGACTTCTAGCCAACTGAGCTTTTGTAGTGTGCCCTCTAATTCACATTTTAATAAATATCATTTTCTAAGTGCATTACCTCATGTTTTGGCTTGAACCCAGATGAATCCTGAGAGAATAAGAGAAATGTGCTTTCTGACCAATTCATCCATATTTTATTCTACTTTTCATTAAGAAATTACTCTTTGCAGAAAATCAATAATCTTCTCTGATGAAGGGAGAGGTTAGCATGTTGCAGTGGTGCATTCTAATTTCTAAAATCAAACTACTTTTAACCAGTTGTTGCTAATAGAGTTTTTGTCCTTTCTCGTCCCTGCAGCCTGGGTACATGGCGACCCCAGGAAAGTGGCTTTTCCTACAGATAGCCAAGGCCACTTCTGTGGCCAGAAGGGCACCCCCACTGAGTGAGTATAACCACCTTTGCTTTGTCTGATATTACTGTTTAAGCTAGAACCTAGAAATCACTTTTATTTTATTTCATTTTATTTTATTTTTTAAATTTATTTGTTACTTTTTTATGGAGACATTGGTTAATGAAATCCAATAAGTTTCAGCTATACATGTTAACATTAAGGTATATATATATTTGCACTGTGTGTTCACCTCCCATAGTTAAATTTCTTTCTGTCACCACATATTTGACCCCTTTTACCCCATCTACCACCTCCTTCCCCTCTCCCCTACCCTCTAGTAACCACTAGTCTATTGTCCATGTCCAAGAGTCTCTGTTTGTTTGTCCTGTTCATTTGTTGCTTTTAGATTTATATCCCACATATAAGTGATATCATGTGATTTTCAACTTTTTCTGTCTGGCTTATTTCACTTAGCATGATTATCTCGAGGTCCATCCATGTTGTCGCAAATGGCAGTATTTCATCTCTTATGGCTGAGTAATATTCCATTGTATATATGTACCACAGCTTCTTTATCCAATCATCTATTGTAGGGCACTTTGGTTGCTTCCATGTTAGAAATCACTTTACGTTAATCCTACTAGACTCCTTGACAAGACTGAAATTCCTAATGGAGGTCTTCCTTCCCCCTTTCCCTAGAAACAGTTTATAAGCAGCCCCTTCTACCACTAAGAACAACAGCAAACAAGGCTCAAAACACTTGCAAGTGTCCCGTGTTGCCCGCTCATAACTTTGGAACTTATTATTCTAGATATACAGATTAAAAAACTAAATTCGGAAGAGGGTTAACAAATTCACAGACTAGAATTATCATAGAGAACCAATGCTTTTCACTGAAATAGAAAAAAAAAAACTTAAGAGACGTATGGAATCACAAAAATCCCTAAATAGCCAATGCAATCTTAGAAAAAATTTTTTTAAAGGAACAGTGGATTTTTAATATTTTTTATTTTTATTTTTAATTATAGTTGGCAAACAATATTATATTTGTTTCAGGTGTCCAACACAGTGATTAGACATCTATATAACTCATGAAGTGGTCACCCCAATAAATCTAGTCCCCTCTGACACTGTACATAGTTATTATAATATTATTGATTATACTCTTTATACTATACTTTATATCTCTATGATTATTTTGTAACTACCAGTTTGTACTTAATCCTTCCTGCCTTTTTCACTGACCTCTCCCCGCCAAACTCCTTCCTATCCAGTAACCCTCAAAATGTTCTCTGTATCTATGAATTTGTTTCTGGGGTTTTTTGTTTGTTTGTTTTGTTCCTTAGATTCCATCTGTACATGAAATCACATGGCATTTGTCTTTCTCTACTTGACTTACTCCACTCAGCACAATATTCTCTAGGTCCATCGTGAAATATCTTTTCCTATCTCTTTACTTTCCATCTGTGTGTGTCTTTTAATCTGAAGTGAGTCTCTTGTAGGCAGCCTATGTAAAGGTTTTGTTTTCTTATCCATTCAGCCACCCTATCTTTTGATTGGAGCATTTAATTCTTTTTCATTTGAAGGACTTATTGATAGATGTGTAGTTGTTGCCATTCTTTATTTATATTTTTTTAATATATATTTTTCTTCTTAAAGAAGAAGTCTTTAAGACTTCTTAAAGTCCTTTAAACATTTCCTGTAATGCTGGCTTGGTGGTGATGAACTCCTTTAGCTTTTTCTTGTCTGACAAGCTCTTTATCTCTCCTTCAATTCTACATGATAACTTTGCTGGGTAGAGTAATCTTGGTTGTAGGTCTTTGCTTTTCCTCACTTTGAATATTTTGTGTCAAGCCCTTCTGGCCTGCAAAGCTTCTGTTGAGAAATCAGCTGACACTCTTATGGGAGCTCCCTTGCAGGAAATTAATTACTCTTCTCTTGCTGCTTTTAAAATTCTCTCTTTGTCTTTAACCTTTGGCACTTTAATTATGATGTGTCTTGTCGTGGGCCTCTTTGGGTTCATCTTGTTTGGGAATCTCTGAGCTTCCTGGATTTGTATGTATATTTCCTTCACCAGATTAGGGAAGTTTTCAGTCATTATTTATTCAAATAGGTTTTCAATTTCTTGCTTTCTCTCTTCTCCTTCTGGTATCTTTATGATGCAAATGTTGTAATACTTGATGTAGTCCCAGAAGCTCCTTAAACTCTTCATTTTGGGGGGATTCTTTTTCCTTGTGGCTGTTCAGATTGGGTGTCCTTTGCTACCCCACCCTCAAAATCACTGATTCGATCCTCCTCTTCCTCCACTCTATTGACTCCCTCTAATGAACTCTTCAGTTTAGATACTGTAGTCTTCATTTCTGACTGATTACCTTTTATGTTTTCCATCTCTATTTTTATGTTTTCTATCTCTTCATTAAAGTTCTGAGTTCATCTACTCTTCTCCTAAGTTCATTGAGCGTCCTGATAACCGGTGTTTGAAGTCTGCATCTGGTAGATTGCTTGTCTCCATTTTGTTGAATTCTTTTTCTGGAGCTCTGTTCTGTTCTTTTATGTTGGACATGTTTATTTGTCTCCCCAATTTGGCTGTCTCCCTGTGTCTGTTTCTATGTATTAGGTAGGACTCCTAAATCTCCCATCTTAGTAGAATGGTTTTACGTAGTAGGTCCTGTGGGACCCATCAGCACAGTCCTGGGACAGGTCCAGCTGCAGGCCAAGTTCAGCCGCAGCCTGTCCACCTCCAAGGCCACCTGGTAAGAGTCACCAAGCAATCCACAGATGGCTGCCACCTGTGCTGGGCTTGTAGGTGCCTCGAGAGGCCAAGCCAGGAACCAAAGCCAGCTGCCACTAATGCAGGGCTTAGGGCTGCTCAGTGCGAGGTACAGGGTATGTCGAGGCCAGATGCTTCTTCTGTGGGTTTTGTGAGCCTTTGAGAGATTTAAGGAAAGTCCACAGCCAGAGTCAAGACAGGCCATTTGTATGGAATAAACCACTGGAAGAAGCTTGGGTGGGCACAAGTAGGAGGGAATCCCCTGGGCAGAGCGACCTGTGTTATCCAGGTTGATGGCAACTCAGACATGGAGATGCCTGCGTCCGTAGGCTGGGAGCGGGGAGGGCTCAACAAAGGAACAGTGGATACTGCCAGCACTTCTGTCTGAGAGAAAGCCACCCCTCCAGCCCTCACCCTGAAGCAGGACAACTCAATGTCTTCATTGAGGAGCTGCCCCAGTGCTGGAACTCAGAGTGAGTGAGTCCGTCAGCATTAAGTTCAGGCTCAGACCCTTTAAGAGAAATATCTGCGAATTCCACAGCCCTCCGTCTCACTCAGCTGCAACCCCCATTAGATTTCACAGCCAGAGGTTGTGGGGACTTCTCTTCCTGGCACTGGAACCTTGGGCTGGGGAGCCAAGTGTGGGGCTGGGGAGCCAAGTGTGAGGCCTGGACCACTTACTGTTTGGGTTGGGGAGGGGCTCTCCACGGCCAAGATAGCCCTCCTGATTTTTGATGGCTGCACGGTTATGGGACTAGGCCACTTCACATCTCCGCCCCAATTTTTAAATCAAATTGTTTTGACTTGATTTTGCTATTGAGTCATATGAGTATCCTCAGCCTCTACAACACTGGCATTGTAGTAGGTGCTCATTAAATTCATTGTTGAATGAAAATAAAGGAGTAGCACAGATAAGAAAGAGAGTGATTTGCTGCCAAGGTGGAGGTCAGTGTAAAGATCTTACCGGATTCTCATTAACACTGTGAGTGGGTATCATTATTCCACTCATTTAGAAAATTACAAAATTGAATTTCAGAAAGGTTAAAGTACTTGTTCAGGTACAACTGACTACTAAATGGTAAAAGTAGAATGTTCTAACCTCCAAGCCTGCACTCTTTAGGCTGCACATTGATAGAGTTGCTGTCAAATTGTTTTTTCATGATTAATGTAGTCCTGAAAATCTTGAACATATATTGGTAAAAAGTATCATTAAATTAAAAAATAAAATAAAATAAATGTGTGCATGTCTGTGTGTGTGTGTGTGTGTATTTCCATTCCAAATGAAATGCATTTTATCAGGATGTGTAAGCAATTTAGATACCCCAAACAATTTAGTTCAGAAAATACTTGTGAGACTATAACAATTAAAGTACTTAAACTTGTTAGTGTCGTGATATACTTAAAGCAACCCTTTGATTCTCAACTCTCAAAGACATTCCTTATAACTGAGCTTAAATTCCATGTTTAGAAATGGTGTAACGGTATTTGGAATGTAGAGTTTGGCCATTTTTTGCTTTGTTTATTCATGCCTAACCAAAAGGACGCTATGAGAAACACTGGGGTTTTTTTAAAATGCCAAAACAAATTAAACAGAGCTTTCAATGGAAATGGAGTGCTTTGTTGATATGTAACTTTTTCTGCCTTTCATGAAAACTTGGGTGTTCCAATTCTTCAGGATTTTCGCTAAAAAGCAAGAACTCGATTTTGATGCCACCTTCTGGCTACCACAAAAACTTCAGCTTATAAAAGCTGTGTTAAAACATCTTTGAACACTGTCCCATGCAGCACGATTACCAAACAGACTGAAATACCCATCTCCCCAGTATGAGCTCTTCAGATAGGGAAACAGAAAACATTAAGAGGACAAAGCTCTTCCTTTTAGGTTTCTATCAATTTGGCATCGAAGTGAAGCAACACTTCCACTCTTACTACAGAAAGAAGAACCAAGTTCCTTGTGTGAATTTGCTCTACTGCTGTGTTAGTAGGTCAGTTTTCTAGTGAGGCCTCTGTCCTGTGTGGGGTGATGGGGCTGTGCTGGCTGTCAGATTTCACTGCAGAACTGGTGGGAAGCTGGCTGTCAGACATGGGCTTTCAAAATGAATGAATGTGAAGTGCCAAATCCCACAAAAGCCCTTGCTATACCCGGAAGGTTCATTCACCCAAAGAGGCCTCTGTTTTTGCCAGTTTTTCCTGGATGCTACAATTCTAAGTGTATGAGTATGAGAGAAGCACAGAGATACTGATTTGCACTATAGATCTGTATATAAACTTTCAATTAATCTACTCATTTTTGGCCACATTTGTTACTCTCAACTCTGATTCCAACATGTCTTGTGATTTCTAACAGGCAAATTGTGTCCGACCTTTTTCCTAGCCTCTCTGGTTCATTCCTCACTCAACACACTCTCATATGCTTTCCATCTTCCAGAAATTGTTGAACTCTCTTGTGTAATTTTGAGCAGATCCCATCCTCCACATGCTTAGCTGGATGGTGAGGTTTATTCCTTTTTGTACTTTCATTCTTTTATTTCCATGAGTCTCAGGAAAGAAGATGAGCTTAAGTGAATAGTATATCATCTTAAACTGTCAGTTTGCAGTTGCTTCTATTTGTTGTTTCTTGGTGGAAATATAATTCCAGTTAAATAATGAGGTACTTCTTCAGTCGCTCTCACAAAATTGCTCAACTGCAACCATCACCATCTACTTTATACCTAGGGAATCTGAGGTCCACTGATGTTTAAGGATATCAGTCAAATTATAATAAAATAACTATAGAAAAACTAAGGATTTTAAGGATTCTAAAATTTTGAAAAACCTAGTCTGGACTTTGTCTCGTTCAGTCCACAACATTTGATAACTACCTAGAACGGGCTAAGTACTAGGCTAAGTGTTGGCAAGGTAGGGATATAAAGATGAATAAATATAAATCTTACCCTTGAGGATAGCATAATCTGGTGAATAATGAGTTTATGTAGTATTTCTTAGTCTATAAATCAATTTTACCTTTGGGGACCCTTGACACTTACTGATTCACCGTTCACATTTTTAGCTACTCCTACGAGACTCCAGTGACCCATGACATGCATTAATTTATTCATTTACTTAGGTACAAATTTGAATGGCATGCACCATGAGACTGTGTGGATGATAATAGCTGTTTGGGTGATAAAAGAGCCAAGCTGACTCTTGTGAAATCATGAAGTAGCCTTGTGCATATTATGTGTGAATTTATTAAAGACCTTAAGCTACCTGAATTTGATGGGGCTACAAACATGAAATTCTCCCCCCCCGCCACCACCCGCTCCATCCATCATTGACTTTATCAATGTCCTTTCATATATCTCTTCTCACTTTGGCATCTCAGGTAGATTTCATAGCTTTCCAGATACTTTCTGTTGTTAAAAGGTCAATGTAGTCCAGTCTAAAATTTCAATCTCATTTCTTCTAATCCCCCACCTCAGGTTTGAATTCTGCAAGGGAATGTAGAGTAGGAGAGAGGACCTGGTCTACTATTTCCCCCTTCTCTCTCTTCTGGTTCTAGCTCTTTCTTTGTGTTGTGAGGGATGGAAGGTGGAGTGTCTGTCACTTTCTTAGTCACTTCCCTAGTCCCATATGGTCATTGCTACCGCAGCTAAAACATAACTAACTAGCCATCAACACCCTCTTTGGGGTAAGCACAAAAACCTGGTTCTCTCATGGTCTATAAGCGAAAATTCTCTGGGCAAGTCCTCACTGAATAATTCTTTGATTTGAGAAATCAGCTTTGGTTTGTCCTGATCCCAGCCCCTTCAGCTTCATCTCCAGTGATTCACCTCCAGTCTCTTATTGTCAGATGAGGTACCACATGGGAAATGCAAGCCCGTTTACTTGACTCTACACTCTTCCCTAATAAGCTACTTCAGTGCTGCCCTCTTCCTATCCCATTGGCTTTTTTCAACTCTCTGGGGACTCTCTGGGGTCTCTCTGGGCCTCATTTCTCCTTGCTAATATGGGCACAGAGGCTGACTAGAAAGTCTGCCACATAAGAGGTGTCCAAATGGAAAATGAGATACTGGTCTGCCCTTCCTACAGGTACCCTCAGTCTCTATGAGTTTCTCTCAGAGCTCTGTGTAATCTGGAATTGAAAGATACAATCACCCTTTCAATGAGGAGGAGATGGAAAATCTTCTAAATTTTGATTATTATATCCTGCAAACTCCAATGTCTCCAAACCACCTCTCTCCCCCCACTTTTTCCTTCTGAAGTAGGGTCAGCAAGGGGGTAGAAGTAATGCAAGCAAGGGTCTAGCCCACATTTTTTCTGGAGCAATTTTTATTATCCTTAGATTTGGATTTTCCTTGGTGATTCTGAGTCAGTATGAAAAGTATTATTCAAAAGCCTATTATAAGTTTTATGTTATGTATGTAGTCACATTAATTAATTAAGGACTTGACAAGGTACTAGGAACATTCTTCTCAAATATTTAGGGCTTCTCTCAAGTGTGGTTTATAGACCACAGGTATCTGAATCTACTTGGGAGCATGGGGAGTGGAAATGTGAATGCCTGAGTCTCATATCTAGAGACTTGGGCTCTCAAGGGTTGAAAAGGAGTCAGGAATCATGATTTTCAATAAATGCTCCAAGTTTTACTGATACATACTAAAGTTGGACAAATACTTGTCTTGAGTCCACTAAACATTATTTTATGTCTTCACAACACCACTCTGAAGTAGGTAGAGCTGGTATTATTCCATTCCACTGATGAAGAAATTGAGATTCAAAAGAGAACCATGGTTTGCCAAATGGCAGAATAAATGCTAGTGATGATGAATATCAACCTGTTTCATTACAATGCCACTGACCATAATTTTCAACAGAGAGAAAATGTCATTCAATTTATTGATCTTTTATAGATTACCAAAGTAACGCATGCTTATTTTATTTTATTTTTTATTTTTATTTTTATTTTTTTCCATTTTATTTTTTTAAGTTTATTGGGGTAACATTGGTTAATACAATTATATAATTTTGGGGTGTACATTATAATTTGACATCTATATATTCTATTGTGTGATTACCACCCAGAGTCCAATTTCCTTCAGCTACTGTATATTTGATCCCCTTTACCCACTACACCCACCCCCAACTCCCCTATATTTGAACGCATGTTTATTTTAGAAGATTTAGAAGATAAAATTACCAAAAAAAAAGCTAAACAAATATAATTCAACTATTTAGATATAATAATTTATTTCTGCATATAATGTTATACCCATTTTTATGAAATTAAAATTGAAACATATCTTAATACCCTTTAGTAACATGTTTCCTAAAATTAATATGTTGGGACTTTCTCCATCCATTAAACATTTTCTCCAATATTACTTTAATGGCAATGTCGTCTTCCATTTTATAGATATAGAAGTTTTTATTTAACCAATCCCGTGTTGATAATTTAATTATTTCAACTATTTACTATTGTCAAAAGGTGCTTTAAGTGTTAAGCATCTTAAAGGGGAGTTGGGGACTGTATGGCAACTATATAGAGAAAATGAAGCCAATTTTTAAAGGTCATATTATATTAAAAGTGTACAGGTTCTGAAATGATATGGAACATTTCCACAGTCACTAAAAAGATTATTTTATATTGTTTTCTTAACAGGAATAAGAGCATTTTGTTTTATTTTAACCTGTTCAGCTGTACCAGTCCCTCTGTGATGGTAAACCTACAGTGCCCTACTACACAGGTAAAGCAAAAAAAAAAAAAAAAAAGCCTTGTTGATGTTGTTAGTAATTTTGAACATTGTTGGATGAAAGTCAGAAATTCCATATGAGTTCTGTGAGTGTACAGTTACTGACGAATTAATGATAGGTGGGAAGACATGAGTATGAGCTCCTGTTTGTTAATGTACAACCAAAAACAAAGCAGGGATTAATCATTTTAGGATCACTAAAGAACCTCAGTGACTATCTTGTCCAACCACCTATTTTCGTAAATGAACAAACTATAGCCTAAAGAAGTGGAGATATTTTTTTCTCCAGATAAATATTACACAGAGCAAAGCTAACTAATGTAACTAATAAACCTCTGTTTTTCAGTGGCTTAACACAATAAAGTTTCTTTTTCACCATATAACAGTATAAGGCATTGTAGTCAGTGGATAACTCTTCTCCAGATTTCTTTCATCTGGTGGCTCTGCCATCCCTTAAGTCCTCATCATCTGTATGCAGCTGCTAGAAGAAAAGAGAAGATAAATAAAGCATCCCTGCTCTTAGAAGCTTTGGATCAGAAGTATTACACATTGCATTTGTACTCCTTTGCCACAGATACATTAGTTTTATATGTTCACATCTAGATGCAAGAAGAAAGGAATCAAGCAAGGTAGTTGTGTGCCTAATAGCCTCATCTGTGCTGTGGAACAAATGGAGCAAGAGGTACATATTTCAGTGAGCAGTTACTTTTGTCTTCCATAGTCTAACCCTCTCTCTTCCAGAACATCCATTTTCCCAAGGGAGACAACCTAGAGGCCTAGGTAGTACTGTCTTTAACCCAGAGTCTATGGATGATGCACGTAGTCTCATGTTTCATATCAGGTCTCGACACTAAATACACAATAGGGAATGAGGCTAGGGAAATTAGAATGCAAACTCCCATTCAGAAAAGGAGGAGTAATAAATAGACGGTCTCTGGTACATGGCACTGGAGAAGAGTTCTTTATCCCAGCGGTCCCCAACCTTTTCAGCACCAAGGACCAGTGCTTCTACGAGAATCTAATGCCTGATGATCTGAGGTGGAACTGAGATGGTGATGCTAGTGTTGGGGAGCAGCTGCAAATACAGATGAAGCATCCCTCACTTGCCCACTATTAACCTCCTGCTGTGCGGCCGGGTTCCTAACAGGCCACGGAGCGCTGGTCTGCGGCCTAGGGATTGGGGACCCTGCTTTATCTGACCTGGACTGTGCTCTTTAGAGGAACTCTCTTATCCATTGTGTCCCATGGTCCATTGTTCGATCACCTGGGAGGTTATTTTCTGTTCATGTGTCTCCAGGCCACACCATTGCTGAGCACTGAAAATATGCCCTCTTGGGGGCCAAATAGCTTTGAAACTCTCTTCCTGTTGTGCAAGCTTTTAGCAACTCAAAGATCATTTTAACAGTCAAAGGCCTTTTCAAGTTAGTTCATGAAATTCCTTGGCAGTACAACTACCTCAGAAACTTAGTAGCTACTAATTTACTCGCTTCTTCTTGCTTCCAGTAAACTACACACAAAGATCTTTCCTAGATTTTGCTTTTGCTCTTTCTTCCTCATTTCCCTCTAAGACTTTTGATATCTTATTTCTTACTGAAACGAAAGCCAGCTTGGGATATTGGCATCTTAGTTCTGTGACCACCTCTACCACAGACCTTGGTTTCTATCATAGCCACCCACTCCCAGGGTCAAATCTTTGATCTTGTTCTGGTCAATATCAATAATTATCAGCTTTTGTAATTTCTATGTCAAATATCTCACTATCCGATCGCGTCAGTCCCACTAACATTCCAACGATTCTTCTATCCCACTAGGACCTACAAGCCACTGATCTTAACCCCTTCAAAGTATCCTTTAGTCCCCTCATGTTTTGTCTCCCTCTTTACCTAATGCAGATTTTGTGGTCCCTCTTTAAAAATTACTTCCTTGTATACATCCTCAAATCCTTTGCACACCCCCTGCTCCCCACTTAGTTGTACTTCCCTGGCAAAACCTCATCTCTGGCTAAATGTAGCTCTGTGCCTATTCCATGCCTGAACCCAGACAGTTATGTTTCCTTAGAGAAAACACACAGAACAGTCCTTTAAATTCAGGACTAGTAACCTCAAGTGGGCCCTTAATGCTGTCCCACACCACATGACAGATCCCTTGTTCATTCGCTAGCCTACTGTCCTAGAAAACAATTTCGCTCTTTTTCCTCTCATTTTAAACCTCCAAGACCTCCTTCGCAGAATGCATGTCAGCCTCTGACTTTGCTTCCTATTTCACCGAGGAAGTATAAACATTCAGAAGGCAGCTTTTAATAGCTCCCATGCTGATATCCACTTGTCTATCTGTTGTCACCTATATTCATATATTTATTCAGCCTTTCCCCCTCTTACTGTCCATGAACTGCTGTGATCCTAAGGCCAGTCCATCCACTGGTGCTTTAGATCTTATCTTTTCTAACATACTCAAGCACATCCTTATTCCAGAAATTTCCTGTTTTTTCTCTGACCACATATGCTATTACTCTCCCTCTGATCACTGCACTCGGGTCATACTGGCCATCTATTGTTGTCTTCAGAGGATCCAGGAAACCTCCTAACTGAGAGTCTTAGACTTTGCCGTTCTCCCTGCCTACAGTATTCTTTCTGTAGATGACTGTGTCTTGATCACTAGTCTTAAAGTTTTTCTTCAAATGTTACCTTTTTAGTGAGGACTTCTCTGACTTCCTATTTAAAATTGGAATCCTACCCAGCTAGTTTTCATCCTCTAGTCTCATTTGTAGTTTTTTTTTTTTCTACATAGTATTTATTACCACCTTATAACAAACAATTATACCTATTTGTTATTACCAGTCTTTCCTACTAGAAGATAAACTGCTTGAGGGCAAGGATTTTTATCTGCTTTGTTCACTACTGTGTCCCCATTGCCTAGAACAGGCTCAGAGAAGGTGATGAGTAAATATTTGTTGAATGAATAAATATTTGTTGAATGAATAAATGAATGAGTGAATATCTTCTTACTCCCAGTCTAGGAATTTTTTCACTATATTATACAAACCTATCATTCCCATGATGAAACAAACAAACAAAATCCTTGCACATTATGCTTTTTTGTTGTTTCATAGATTATTTACTAGATTATCCTTTTTTCGTAGCACTTGTAGTGTTTTAACCTTCAATGTGACTCTCTCCTCCACTCACCAAATCCTAATTTGTATTAGAGTGTTAAACCTATATGAATTGAAGATGTAAGTAAAAATAATAGTGAAGAACTATATTCAAAATGCCCCTTGTGATTACTCAAAGAATCAGAACTGAGTCAGAATATATTTTAGCTGCTAATAATGCAGACTTACTTTCAATCTTCCATGGAATAATTTATCTACCAAGCCATATTTTTATGCATTATGATTTTGTTAACCACCAGCATGGTCCAGACATGTCACAAGCATTGAAAAGACAGAATGTGATCAAGTAGGATACCAACCTCAGTATGACCTTCGTTTTGAGCTAATTATATGTTGATTGCTACTAATCAGCACCCTATTTGAAGTGAGCAAATTGGTCTGATAGAGAGAGAGAGTAAAGAGCAGTTGCTATATTGTTTTTTAACAGCTCACTTTATCTGGAATGAAATTTGATGTGCTTCTCTTTAACAAACCACTTTTTTTTATCATTTTAATTACTTTCTTTTATGTGTCACATATACAGCATTTTTATATGTGTAATATACATTGTATGTGTGTATATTTATAAATATAGAAATCATCATGGTCTCAACTCACGAGTTTCTACCATCATTTAAAGCCTGTGAAAGCATTAGTACTTTCAGTATTCACTTTATAAATCCATTTAAATGTCCCAATAGGGGAACTAATTCAGTTATCTTTCAAAGTCATTTAGTAAATTATCAAAGTCTAAAGTCTGTAAGGTATCTCCTAATATGTAAAAGATTTATCCAGTTTAGCTCAATTCAGAGTAAACTTTTGACATTTGCATTGATTAATCTTACTTAGCCTTCTTCCAAAAAAAATGTGAGCATGTTGGATGCTATGAATATCCCTAAACAGTGCTTAGCTTTTGTATATAGATACAATAATTTTTCTAGAGGTGTACGACTATGTGTATATGATTGTGTGTATGCATATGTATGCATGAGAGACTGAGAAAGAGAAAATATATAGAGAGGTGTGAATGTGGAGTTGGGTTGTCAAAACTTCTAGATGGAATTGCACTGCTGCTACTGCAAAAGAATATTAACTGTGAGATTTGAGGTGTCAATTTAGCTAGCCACCTACTACCGTGGCTGTAGGGTTGACACCAAATGTCCTGTGTACAGCAAAAACATGATCCCAAGATGGGAAAGAAATGTCAGCTAAGCAGCAGTGTTTTTATGTAACTGCCAATGGGGGTTGAGCTAGAATCTGGCCCTGGAGAATAGTTAGCAAAGTGTACAGTAGGGAGATGGAACAATTTAGAGTGGAGAAGACTTTCCCAAGGAACTGAAAGTGGAGGAGAGAATGTGCAAGGATTGACTGCAACTTTCGTAACTTAATATGATCTTTGTTTTGTTTCGTCTTGTTTTTACAAAAACAAAAGCAAAACCAATAGAGTGTATATTTTCTGATTCCTCTCTGTGGAATTACTAATTGTATATATACATACAATGTACATTACACATATAAAAATGCTGTATATGTGACACATAAAAGAAACAGGTTTCCTCTCTGTGGAGTTACTAATTGGATTTGTCAGACTCTGTAGACTAGCATAGTGATCCTATTTGGCATTAATAGGTCCCCAAAGTTCATTAATGCAAAATAATTGCATCAGTGACCTCTCTGCCCACACGTGTCTGGTGTTGCTAAAAGACTATAATAATGATTGATTACTACAAATAGCCCTAATTTTGTTTCTTATGGTAATAAGACCCCAATGATGTTTTGGGAATTGCTGAGAATTCACTGGCACTGATAGTTATTAGTGGCATACATTATCAATGTTTGGAGCATTTTAAATCACTATTTTATTCATATATAGGAAAAGAAGAAAGATTCTAATCCTGAAAATGTATAAATTACATAGGCAAAATTCAGCTTACATTATACTCTTATTTACTAACTCAGAAAATTATATTTTATTAAAATATGTTTAAATACTTTATTAAAAGTCTATCATTGTCCTATGGTAGATGTCATATGAATTTACATGTGATAAAATTGCTAGAACTGCGCGTGCGCATACACACACACACACACACACACACACACACATGAACGCATGTAAAACTGGTGAAATTTGATAAGGTTAATGGATTATAACATCATCAATTTCCTGGTTGCAATATTGTATTAAAGTTATGCAAATTATTACCATTGGATAAAACTAGGTGAAAAGTATGTGGAAACTATTATTTCTTAATAGATTCAAGCTGCAGGTAGATCTATTATCTCAAAATCAGAAGTTAAACATAAATCCATCATCATATAGCATCTTATTGTTTTAACAGAACACCAACATTAAAGGGCAAGGAGTAGAGATTGATAACTAGTAGATGAATTTTCACTTTTTACAATAAGATTAGAAAGTTGATTTTAATTTCTTAGATGGAAAATTGTGCTTTGCTCTTTAGAGTAGTGAATAATTTAGAAGTCTAACCTTATAGATACTTTCTTGGTTTGTTCAACTCAATATAGTTCCCACCACTGTGCTCCTTTTCATTACAGATCTGTGTCTCCAAGTGCCCAGAAAAATTTTTAACTTATGTGGAAACACAATTTCCGTACAAAAAAGACAAAAGATCTTGGACATACTTTAGCCAGTTCTGCAAGTCTCCTTTTTCAAAGCCTGAAAAGGTATGTGTGTTTAAGTTTAAAATTAGAGAAGAATCTAACTTTTGTTTTAATCTCAAGTGTAATATTAGCATTTGTAACTGGAAAAGCATTTTATGAAATGATTTCAAGTATTTTATGAAATGATTACTGAAGATACCATTTCATTAAAACCTGTGCACAAATGTGCATGTATATACAAAACACACACCATTTATAGCACGTCATTTTGTAGACTTGGAGTGTTATGCAAGATTGTTAAGTCTGATAAGTTAGCTTCAACTTTTCCCTGACACCAACAAAGTCTCTACTTGGTTGGAATTTTTGCTGTCAAGAGCTAGATGCTAATGTCATTCACAGTCACCATTTCATTAATGCAGTGTTGAAGCTCCATGACTACTTAGTAATAAGTAGAATTTTACTTCCAAATCAAGTCTAATAATTTTTCATTTAAAAAAATCCCAAAACCCTACCTAGGTTTAAGTCTTATAAGGGAATTCTAAAGCTTCATGTTAATTAATATTAATGACTTCTACATTAGAGAAGATGCTGTTTTTTCCAGAAGAAAATTTAAGGATTAGGGACTCAGGATGTGACTAAGATAAAGATACATGCTTTCAAAGGCATGCTTTGGTTTCAGCAATTCTGGTTTTATTATTGCTGATTCAATCGAATTACAGTTTGGACATTTAAGAGTAATTTGTCAAACAAGTATATGGATATGATAATCTTGCAATTACTTTTGTTAGGGGAATAATTTGGAATAATGAGATTATTATGTAACTTAATTTTTAAAGGACAAAATTTTTATATTGAGAGTAAAATTTGTCATCATATAACCTTTGAAATGTTAACATACTCTTCCTTCCATTTTAGACTCTCTCACAAATGGTAATGGATGACGATTGTCCAACAGTGATTTTTCCAAGCAAACCTCGTAAGTGGTTATTATTTTACCTTAGAAAGACAGAATCTATGAAGAAGTCATTGAATTTGGTTCCCTTACTTCACAGTTGATGAAATTGAGGCCAAGAACAGTAGAATGACTGGCCTAAGATACCAGAGTTAATTAGGAAGAAAGCCAAAGCTAAAGCCCATTCTCCTGACTCTAGCCAGGGATATTTCCCTTGGAGTTCTGTGAGTATTAGAGTTTTGTTGCATAAACACACATACAAAAAAAAGATTAAAAATTGATTTTTGAAAGCCCAGTTTGATGCTCTATGAGCACACATAAGCACGCACAAAAACCTACTCTTACATACTAACCCCTGAATTCAGCCAAAAAGTTTATTCAGAAATTGCTTGGGGAGTGAGATTAGGACACACATTTGTTTTTATAATTTGAAATTTGAAATACTGATATGTCTCCTGAATGAATCAATATTTTATTTCTTTAAAATTTATAAATTTTGTTTAACTCTGTTTAGAAGAAAATGAAATAATCATTCATTTTTCTTTCTTATGGATATAATTCTAACTACAGAGAAAAAACTTAAATATGTCCACCACAGTGTTATTCGAAATAACCCCCTAAAAAAAAAGAAAGAAAAAGACAACACTCTAAAGCCCAAGAGCAAGAGAATGCTCAAATAAGTTATGATATATTCATTAAGTGAAATATTTTAGAATTATTGAATATGATAAGTAATGTGTATATGTTATAATGTTAAATAAAATGCAAAATTCTATATGCATTAGAATAGCAAGCATGTAGAAAATAAAATAAACAAACAAAAAGAAACTATTCAAAGAAAAAGATTGGAAAGAAATATGCCAAAATATTAAGCGGTTGTTTTGGAGGTGGTAAAACACTGAGCATTTTCTCTCTTTTTTCTTCTTTTTCTACTTCTCCATTTTTCCACAATGCGTATATGTTTCTTTTACAATGGAAGAGAGGCAATAGTCATCAGTTTGAGTAGAAAGTCAGGTACCATGGAAGTAGCTACGACCGAAGGCAGTGTCTTGCAGGCTCCCCTCGCTCTCGACTGGGTCGTTAAAGACTCTGAAGCAAAGACATAGGTTCCACAAGCAATGGCTTTTACCAGGAAACCCTAGGCAGCAAGCGTCTGTTGCCAAGAACAGTGTTACAAATTCTTATGCAAAAAGGTAAAAATGACTCACTAGTCACTGAAGATATAATAGGTGTGAAAGTATCAGACATAGTCCCTGCTCTTACAAGTACAGTTTGGTTAAATCACACAATAGAAAATGTACACTGGTGATACAAAAACGAATAAGGCATAACCCCTCACAGTCTAGCGAAGGAGATATCAAGGCAAACATTGAGATCAGTGTGAATTCCCCCAGTTGAGGATTAACTATAGTATTTAATAGAAGAGGATGCAGCTAATAAAATCCACTCATTAGAGAATTTATACAAGGAAATAAGTAATATTAAAAGAAAGAAAAAAGAGAAAACACTGAGTGTACTGTATGGTTATGACTTTCCAAAAAAAAAGAAAGAAGAAAGAAATTTCTTGTAGAGAAAAAAATTGAAAGGAAATTCGCCGAAATGTTAATATAGTTCACTGTGGGTGGTAGGACTATATATAGTTTTGCCTCTGTCTTCATATTTTCTCTATTTTCCAAATATATAATTAGTATTTAGTAATTAAAGCTAACAAATTAGATGAGTTACTGCCTAGAAATAACATGTAGAGTAAGATTGGGGGACTCTGGAGGTGGGAACAGTCATATTTAAGTGGTAGAAAGAGAAAGAGTGCACAGAGAGGCAGAGGGAGGGCAGGAGAAAATCTGGAAATGTAAGGCAAGAGAAGAGGGTTTCAAAAGGCAGGAGTTGTCCACCAATGCCGAAGACTCGGAAAAGTTAACTCATTCGACAGTAAATATTTGCCGAGTTCCACCTTGTACCAAGCACTGTGCCAGCTGATGTCTTCAAGCAGCGCAAAGACTAAAAAAAATATTTGGAGGTTTTTGGAAATTAGGAGGGCATTGAGATCAGTGGGAGGACAATTTCTGTGGAGTGATGGAGGCAGAAATACGATTGGATTATGAGGGAATAGAAGCAGCTGGCAGAGACTACTATGTCAGTGCTGCCAGGGAAGAGCAGGAGAAAGATAGGGAGGATACTGAAGGAATCAGCTATATTATAGATGCTACAGAAATGGCAATTGGTAAACAAGAAGATCATTTTCAGCCAGAAATGTCAGGAAAGGTTTTATAAAGACATATATTTCTTCTTTTCCTGTATCAGGTGCTTTATTATGTTCAAATCTAAACTCTACATGAACTCAAGCAAAACCATGATGCTTTTGTTGGCTTTCAACCTCCTTGGGAGCTTCCCAGGTGAAATCTGAAACCAGTTCCCTTACAGAGGGCAGGGAGAGACTGAAGAAAAGGCGGATTTTTATAAGTGAGGGAACATACTTAGTAGGCTTGTCTTGAGTGACTGCAAAATGAATAGTTTTCTGCATCAATGTACCAAATCTTAACAGTTTATGTAGAGGCCTTAACAGAGTTCAGCCATGTACCCAGTCCAGTAGTCTCGTCAGCACATTTCTATCTCAAGGCTGTGTCCTTGGGCCACTTCTAGACTGGGGAAGGCAAGCATAGAGCGCATTCCAAGCACAGGGGAGGCAGTGGGGAGCCTCCAATTGCCCGGGTCCAGCTAGTGGGTCGAACCAGAGGTGACATTTTATTGATGACCCTCCCCAGCCTTCCACCCTTTGAGACCAGCTTATGCAATCAAATGCTCACTTGTTTCTCCACGTGCCCCGAGGAGTTAGCAAGAGGTTTCACCAGCATGGAAGTGGCTCATTTAATCAGTGACAACTTATTTGTTTCACCAAGGGGCCCACGATCTGAACTACTGATTTACTAAGTAACCTAGACTGGGGGTCAGATCCATGAGGGCACTTGCTTGTGTCCTCATGTGATTTAAACAGATGATGTATTAACGGACTCATCAGGTTTGAACACAACATATAAATATGTTATATATTTACATATTATATTTTTTATATATTTGGCAGGTGAGTCTACGCATCTTGCAGCTGCCCAAAACAAGCCTTGTAATTAAGTTCCCTTGCCTATTAAACCTGCCACCTGCCCATCTACAAAAGTCTGCCTTTTCCCTCAGTCTCTCCTCACCTTCCACTTACAGGGACTGGTTTTAGATTATACCTAGGAAGCTCCTAGTTAACTATATGAATCAACATGCTTCTTATAAGAAAACATATAAAAATGATCTATGTCTGATTTCTTTTTCCAATTCATTTAAAATTGGGGTTTAAAAATATTTTTAGTAATACATATGTGCAAAGAGGCAAGGATTCTATGTAATCAAAATAAGCCCATAGATTGAACAATGAGTTAACTCTTCTCAGAAATTATGCTAGTCTACAAAGTGTGAGCCACCAAAGCCAAAGAGTTGGAAAAGTTAACTCATTCGACAGTAAATATTTGCCGAGTTCCACCTTGTACCAAGCACTGTGCCAGCTGATGTCTTCAAGCAGGGCAAAGACTAAAAAAATATTTGGAGGTTTTTAGAAATTAGGAGGGCATTGAGATTACTGGGAGAACAATTTCTGTGGAGTGAAAAGTAGAAAGGACACAGATTATCATTAAAACTTTACAAGTAAAAATTTAGTTGTCTTATACTAGCCTGAAGTTTGAGCTGGTTTTTATTTCCCAAGGAATTATTCACTGAAACCATGAAAGTTTTCATGGTTTCATGGTTTCACTGAAGGAGTATCTAAAGTTCTTTTTTTTTTTTAATAACAAAATTAAACTCATCCAGTCATACAAGTAAATGCAGCCTCTTTAAAAATGTGTTTATCATGAGAGATACATTACTACTATTCTTTTAAAACCTGTGCTGTGTGTCTTATTTATGGTTACTTGATGAGTATACCATGTATAAAATAATTAAGTTTAGAATGTAGCTTCTGATAATGATCATATTTGCTTTCTATGTCAGTCTTAGAACAATCAGAAAATCTTCTGATTATCAAGTAATGGGCAGTTATCTATACAGAGCAATTTACACATCCTCTAGCAAAAACTTGGTTATAAATAACAGAAAACTTAAGAAAAGGAAGGAGAAGAGTGATTACTGTAATTTCCATTTATTTTTACAGTTCTCCAGAGATGTTTCCCTGACTTCTCCTATATAAATGGCACTTTGACAGTAGGAAATAAGACAATGTTTGAAGATGGGAAGGGAAGAACAAGAAATGCTGCAGAACTCAGGACAGCTGCAAAGTATGTTTGTAAAATTCTCATTTCCAGTTTTGGTGCATCCCATTATTGTACTTAAGACTAAAACTTCCATCAGGTTAATGGTCATACAGGAAGAATTATGTATTATGTAACACATATGTCACTGTAGATTAGAGAATTTGGTATGTGTTTATTAAGAAGAGAATCTAAAGGAGAAAACCAGAATAATTAAAAAGAACAATCATGTTTTTCAAAATGGTTAAATCTTTTATTATCAATGGATATAGAAATGAGACATGAGAAAATGTACTAAAAGACTTTAATATAATTTACTTTCTGAGTAAAAATGTAAAAAGAATCAAAAACACCCTATGCTTTTTAAAGTACCATTTAGAAAAAAATGACTGAAATAATGAAACTGCCAGATGTTTTAGAAGGGAAGGGCCTTAAGAAAGGTGAAACAATCATGACAATGCCGTTTCAGTACTGTATCAAATTTCTACATACAATGAAGTGAATTTACTGTTTCTATCGGCTGTACATATCACAATATTTCACATTATTGGGAAATGCAATTCCCAAGCATAAACAGACAGCGTCATTGCATGGCTGTTGTTGAATTAGAAATGAAAAGTAAATATATTCTAAAATTTTATTTCTCTTTCTCGAAAGACTCTAACAGTTCAAATAGAATAGTGCAGTTCCTGCATATTTAAAATATAATAGCAACATGGATGCATTTCACCAATATAAAGTTATGTGAAAGAAATCACAAAATAAATAATACAAGTACAATTTCATTGATAAAAAAAGATTTAAAAACAAATGTCACTAAAGTAAACTACCCTCTGATGCATATATAAGAGGTAAAACTAAAAAAAGAAAACTAGGAACTTATTACCACGAAAAGATTGTGGCTACATTAGGGGAAGGGGGAGGTATTGTAATTGGGGCACATGGGGAAAGGGATGACAGTGTTATAGTTACATAAGTGTGTTCACTTTGGTCATTCATCAAACTGGACATAATGATTTGTGCACTTTTCCATGTGTGCCCCATTGTGCCTTCTTCCTGCTACAGAGCTCTCAGAGGATTATGAAGGTGAATTAAAAATGATGTTCATTCTTGACTCTATGGATTATGTAAGTTAAAAGCTGATTGCAATATTGAGAGCATGTCACATATGTTGGAAAAGAATCTGTTCACCATTCCTGAAAGCCGTGTTCTCTCTGTGTGTAGATATAATCTCCTTTGTAGGTTTACCAAAGTGAATCTCATGAATTGGGGCTAAGGAAAGAGTCACTACTAATAATTGGTTTCTAAAATGTGCTTTAAACAGCAGCTTGCAAATCCCTTTTATCATAACAAGAACATTTCTGCTTAGTGGTAGTCAAAAAATAATTGATTTTTTTTTTCTTCTTTGAATTCAGGAGTATCAATAAAATCCTTGATGCAAAGGCAATTGGAGTGAAAGTGTTTGAAGACTATGCAACAACTTGGTACTGGATTCTCATGTAAGTGAAAACGGATGTTTTTCCTCAGCCCTATTCTGATGTTATCTTTTTAGAATTCTTTCTTCAGTTCCCCATTTATATTTGTGAATAAAAGGTTGACTAGGATCTCAGTTCCTGCCATTTTCTTCTTCATATAGAGTAAAAATGGGGCAAAGATATTTGGAAATATGTCCAGTGTTAACATAATTATAAGAGTGTAAATTTTAACTGTATTCATTAAATTACTAATAAAAGTACCCTTATAAACATATACTTCAGTTCATGTGGGGGCAGCATCTGTGGTATGTTTGCTTCTCATCACATATTATAGTGGATGCAGTGTTATTTCTATGGTCTGTTTTCTCATTTGTCCTTCCTTGACTTCTAAGGGATCATTCTTATTTTTTAACATATCCCTTCCACATAATGTTTGTTATCATCATCATCATCATCATCAAAGGTCACTGTACTTATGAGGAGCTGAAAAAATATATGAAGAGAGGAGGAAATTTAAATTTTTCAGACATAAGATTTGCACTCCTGAAAGGTAAGGGAAAATGCAGTCACACTACTGGAGTGGGTACATGTGTTTGATATATCTAAGAATGTCATTGCTATCTGGCTCTTGTGTCATCTTGTTTCTTAAAAGCTTCTACTGTCCCCTAGTGATCATAGAATACAGTAAAAACATGGGGAAAGAGATGACAATGTTATAGTTACATAAGTGTGTTCACTCTGGTCATTCATCAAACTGGACATAATGATTTGTGCACTTTTCCATGTGTGCCCCATTGTGCCTTCTTCCTGCTACAGTGTGATCATAGATAAAAGTGAAAACCTCGTAGATCATTACAAGACCATTTACAACCTAGCCCAACTTAATTTCCCAGATTCATCTTCACCCAGGTGTTTGACTCACCCTGTATTCTAAACACATTTAATAGCATGCTCATTCCTAGTCTGTCAAACTCCCATGTTTTTGCACATTCTGTTCTCTTTTCTAACATTATCATTCCTTATGCCATAGGCAACTTTATCTTATTATTTAAACTCAGCTTTTGTGTCATTTATGAAGTCTTTCTTGTCTTCCCCAGATATAATCAGTCACCTCTCTGCTCTGTGTTCTTCATACCCATTGTGTGTGTGTGTGTGTGTGTGTGTGTTTATATACCTATATACACGCACAGATCCATACTTATCTTCTCTATAGGACCTACCATTTTGTGTTTTATTTACCTGGCTCTTTTCCTCTGATAAACTGTGAACTCTTTACCATCATAATTATGTCTAACTCATCTTTATTTTTCTAACTCCTATTATGGGTCTTGGAACGTGAAAGATACATAGATAATATGGGTTCAAGGAACAATTATAAAAACACTAGGGGAACAACATAGATATATTTAACTATAAGGTGCTTAATAAAGTCATATTGTGTTGTGTGTAAAATACTAGTGAGTAATTTTTAGAGCTGTAAAATTAGATTGTTTTCTGAAATTTTACTCATTTAATACTTTGTCTTAAACAGTTATAGTAATTATTGTCAGTGTGTATTAGGATTTCAGGATATATATCCAAAGCAGAGATCATAGTCTATACTTGATAGTAGTTAAATGGTTCTCCTATTTTTTGACCAAAATATCACTAGATCATTTCCATGTTTTTGTTTTTTTTTTTAAATTTTGGTTGTTCCACTCTTGCCTGAAGAGGTATACATTGTGATAGACTCTCTTGTCCACCTCACTCCCAGCACACACTGAAACTCTCCTCACCCAGGCACCAATCAAACCACTAGAACATAAATATCTCTGTTTTCAGCTCTGCTGCTCTCATCTATTTAATGCACATAAAGCCAGAGACTGATATGATGTGATTTAGTTTATTCGGTTAGATTTTTTATGCAGAAATTTAAAATACACAGAGTAAACAGCTATGTTTCTTTTTTCCCCACTTTGATATTTTTGAATATTCCTTTTGGACTATGCCCTAGAATAATCCTTCAACCATATTGAATGTTTAAGCATTAAAATATCTGTGATTTTTTCCAAGGAAGTGGCTTCAGAAGATAAAAGCATATGTTCTGAAAGACTAGGACCTGAGAAGTTACTTTGATACTTGACTGTCATTTATCCAGTGACAGCAATTATTAAGATTTTGTTCTTTAAAGATAAAACTTGAAGACAATAAAGTCAATAAATGTACGAAGGCTCTATCTGTTGCTACGTTTGGAAACTTGTGGATAGCTCCAGAAGTGTCAGTTCTTCATAGAACCATCAGCCAAATTTCCAGCCTTAGTAAATTCTCTTTAATGAAATTACCTAGAAGAATACCATATAACTTTATCCTGAAGTACCTCTATTAGCTCACTCAAACTCCAGGAAAATTAAAACAGAGAGAAAATAGTTATGCTGTTGATCGCTTGCAAAAGTCATATGGCCCAGGAGACACAGAAGCTTTATCATGGCTCCAAATAATAGCCTACGGATCACTGGGGACCTGAAATAGATGTCTGGTGATGTCAGACATCACAAACTGTCGGAGATAATTAGACCATAGTGATAATGACTACAAAATCACGGATGCGGGAACTGTGTGGGGAAGTTATTTTTCTTGTCTTTCTGCCTAAGACTGTTTCTTTACTGCTAAAGAGTTATAATTGCATAAAGTTTCCATTAGTCGTGAGGTAGATAGAACAACACAGATTCATCATAGGTATGTTTTACAATTTATCACTAAGTGGGTAGGTGTGAAGAGGAAAAAAATATAGAACATGACAACTATGGCTGGTAGGCCAAAATTGTAGGTTAGAGGGATTGTGTTTTTCCTTGACTAAGGATTGATACTGGACTTCAGTTTACCTACACACATGAAGATGAGTCATGTATAAATTCTACGATGGTTCTACTCTTTTATACAAAAGTCTTAACAGAAACCATTGTTTGTACTTTTCGATGTTATAAATATTTCTATAGCTAGGTAAAAAAATAATCTGATAATTATTTTGAATAGAAAAAAGTATTGTCTTACTGTTTTCATTATATTACGTTTAACACATTTGACCCTGTGTTTGTTTTGTGTTTTTTTCCTCTAGTGGCCTGACAATTGCCATGCTTCTCAGTTGGATATTTCTGATACTCTTGAGGTTCACAGCTGGATTCCTTTTCTGGGTCTTCATGTTGGGTGTGATTGGAATTATAGGTTATGGTAGGTATCATCCCTCTTAAAATCGCCAAATTTCAAAATAATCTTTTTTTTTCAGTTGCCATTATTATCAGAAAGCATGTTCTTTCAGTGAATTTAATTAGTCTTTGCTCCTCCCAAGAAAGTGTTAAATTGAGAAAAAATATTTAATTTTGCATATATTGTGTCTATAACTTTTTTCTTCTTTATCTTGAAAAAAAAAAAGTGCTTTCAAAATATTCTACTCTTTTTCGCTACCTGCCTCTGGTTTTATGTCTCACAGATACTAAGAAGAAAGTAAAAAGAATCTCTCTTAGATTAATGAAAAACATTTTAGACAACTTCTTTTATTCCTTTAACTCTTCTGTCTGATCAAAGGCCAGGTCTGCATAGTTAGAGGAGTGTGATCTATTTTTCCCTTTCAATTTAGTACCTTTAATCCAGGTACTGTCACATATTTCAATAATTGGCCACTGTTCTATAATAGAGGCATCACCCTCTAGAGGCAAGTATGCTGAATTACACTCACTGGATAGAGTTCATTTCAAGTTTGAAATCTAACCACTAACTCAATCTCTCCCAAACAGTACAGGTACAATTTGAACCCTAAAAAAAAGGAATTAAAGTCTCTCGAAAGAAAGAATATAACATTGATGGCAGCTTACTTTCAGTCTTCTAAAAAATGCATAGGCGATTATATGAATTTGAGAGGTT